AGGCAATTATTTGAGGCTACTGATGTTTTGAGACAGTTTACTGGAAGAAAGAATGCTAGAGCAGGTTGCCTTGACGACACTATGTAGCTGCACCAGAAATCAAAGAAAAATGCAGGAGCTCCTTCTATGTTGAGGACTGCAAAATATTCATCAAATTGGGTCAAAAGGGAACTAGTCCCACAGCAAGACCTGTGCAATATTTGATAGCACTTCTTATCACTAGCATTATTAGAAAAGCAACGACAAAGCCAGGTGGTTCATACCTCACAGCACAGGGCAGTAAGAACTGAACAGCAAGCACTATGGTAATGACTGCCTAAAAGTTTGGGTTTTTTTCTTGTGAGACTCTTCTGGTGACATCTGGATCTGAGAGTTTACTCTGGAAAAAGTAGTTTCTAATGGCCAGCACTTTTGATTTCAGAGCAGTATATCACAGAAATGTCACAGCAGGTTCTATGACTTTTGGCAGTGATCACCATACTCTTAAAAAAGAAATGTAAATATGAATTACCAAGCTAGCATTGAATCAAAAGTAAAAAACACCCTTACCATATTTTGCCATCAGTGAATGTTTCAGGCATGCTATGAGTTTTTTTATATCAGCATATAAGCAAATACAGAATACTAGAGGGATAAAGACTTAGAAGATACATGTACACATTCAAAATAAATAAGATCAAGTTTATTTCATGATCAGCATTTTCTTTGCTTCTGTTTAATTTAATAGAAACCTATCACTCTGTACTAAAAGAACATTCCCAGTCCTCTATTTTTGAAAAGGCATAAATTCAGATACTCTTCCTACCAGAAAGAAAATTAACCTCAACTGCTTCATAACACTTCTGTAAACAAAAAAATTGACTTGTGCTTCCTTAATGACCAAGAGCAACCACATGGTAACAATGAGCAATATTGCTTATGCCTCACATAAATAAGACTTTATTTGTAAATCATTTAAAAAATAGAATTGGGAGAGAAAACAGACATCTCTGACACCACACAATAGTCTGTTGGGATGATGCATCAAAGTAAGACATCTCATCAGATACTAGATGTCTTAAATAGACAGCAAAATTTAAATAAGAAAAGTATTTTGAAGTATAGCAAGGAAGTGTTGAGAATCTCCATTTAAAGACATTTTTGTGTTTAAAGCTTCTTTTAATTTTACACTTTAATCTGTTTCATTCTCACTGTATTTTCATTCAATTCTCATTTCTATTAGTCTTCAAACACCAAATTCAAGAGATATGAAATGCAGGTGTTAATATCTAGGATTGCATCAATTTTAAATAAGTGTTTTTCTCAGGTTTAAGCTATTACCTGATAGAGCTCAATAAGGAACTCACACAAGCTTCAGCTTCTTACCACTTTCTAATTCCTTCTGTGATAAGTCAACCTTTAAATTCTGCATGATGGATTGCAGATGCTGAGAGGCAAAGGTACAAATGTAGCTGTATTATTTATAGTGACAGACAGATGTAACAGAGACCATGAGAAACAAATCAGAAACACTAAGCAATGCTTAATATTTAATTTCTTTATTTATCTTGAGCTGAGTAATTAGACCTGTCCAAATATATGAAACACTTGCAATGTCTGTTGATCAATGCTTCAAAGGATTACCTCAATGCAGAGAGGCACTAAAATGATTAAACTGAGTTTTATTTGATGTCTGGTGCTCTCAGGGATTCTCTAATTAAATAACCGTCACATATTGGCACAAACCTATTGATTTAATACTGATTATCTTAATTCATGCTAACTTTGTATGTTCTACTTTGTCACTTATGGGTGCTAACAGATATGGCATGACATTCCAAAATGATTGTGTTATAAAACCTTAGACTTTGATAAAAAATCTGTTATGGAATATTGAAGGTGCAAGAAGGGCTGAGGCATAAATAAAAATGGTAATTAATTATTTAATTAAATAGTTTGTTTTATATTTAAATCATGCTTTTGTGATTCTGCAAAATGCAAAACTATAGATTGCTGTAATTAAGTTTGGTCGTCTCTAATTTTCTCCCTTCAGGAGATCAGCAGCAGGAATTTTACAAAGATATTATGACAAAATTCATCATAATGAAACAATGCATAGTCAGGAACCAAATTTTAGAATGTTGTATAATAAGTGATGAGAGAGATTAAAAAACAAAAAATCAGAATTGATAAAGAGATGTGACCCTCCCCCTTGTAGAATGTCACTTCAAATCCAGGTCTAATGGCCATGGAAATTGTATCATCTGGAGCTGGACAGAAAGTCACTTTAGGGGAAATAATTTCCTTTGTTTTTTTAATAAATTATTTTTTTATGGAATTGAATAGGCACTCCTTTCTTGAAACAAAATATATGGTCTTTTGTTTAGGAAGCATGAAAAAGATCTGTTTTCAGAATTCCTCAAAGCTTATTAGCAAAATTAATAACTTTTTTGGCATCAATTTTGCTGTTCCAGTTGGCATCCAACAAAGCTGACAAGAATTGTGTTGTTTTCAGATACATAACATTCCTGCCATCATGCCAAGAGGATTGCAAAAGTTTGGAAATTTTGATTCACAGCTGACAGGCCAGACTTAGGGGACTGAAGGCTCTTGAGGTCTAGTACAGAACCAAGATTTAGCAAAACCCAAAGCTTTCAAGGTCTGGAAATCCCAGAGTCAGTAGTGTTTTCCAGATCCTACATCAGGGAGACAGGATTGTGGAGAGCTTTGGTGTTAGGAGCTGCCTGTCCCACAGAACTTTGCTCACCACCCTTTGTGCCAGTCCTTTGAAAACACAGGAACACTCCAGAACTGAGATCAGAACTGAGATTCTGGGCTTCATAAAAGCTGCCAAGAAATTTGACAGTGTTTCATTGGGACTTTCCACTTTTGCAAAACACATTAGGTCTGACAAAAAAAAATCCTAATCAAAACAGTTTCAGTGATTTTTATAAAGGATGTTTGGGTGGAAATTTACCAGTCAGCTCTACTCATATGGCAGGTCTCATGATCATTTTTTCCTCCCTTACTTTAGCTTTGCTACAGGAGTCAAAATACTTGGTTTGCAAAACAGCTTCTCATAAACAGTTTAGTGTTTCACAAATTTTTGAATGATGGTGATGATAATGCTCACACTTAGTAAGGATCACATATTTAATTAAATGTAACACGTGAAGGGTGTCACAGTTGAATGCTATAAATGCCAAAGGACAACCAATTTTAACTTTGAAATCTTTGGGAGCTTTGGTTTCTGAAATGTGTGACTTACAAGAAAGGAATTATAGTTAGATGCTGGGCCCATTCCACACAAATAAGTATTTGTTAGCATTTGAAGGGAGGAATGTTACCAGCACAGACTGCCAGGCAGATAAACTACTTTTGAGGAGTGGTTCAAGCAGAAACAAAAATATCCTGCCTCAAAGAAGAGGTGAATCTTTTCTATGCAGAAATCTAAACCATACCGGATAAGCTGAACAAGGTGGAAATCATTAAATTAAGAAATTGCAGACTTGTTGGAATTACATTACCACTCTAAAAGGAGGAGAAGATGTGGCACTGACCACACACAGAGTTAAAACTTCTGATTTCAAGTTATGCACATTTTCCACTCCTTTTCTCCTTGGCCACTATAAATTTTGTTTCCCTTTTATAGAAGATGCTATATTATCTAACAAAACCAGGAAAAAACTTTTGTTAAAAATACCTATATCTGTGTATTCTCTTGGGAAAAGTAAGTGTTGTGAGAGTACCTGCTAGACGTTAAAGCAATTTTGTTTGAAAATAGAAACAGATAAACTGAAAAATGCCCCCAAAGATATGCAACAGGCAGGGGGTTTTTATACAATTATCTCATCCTTACATTAGTTAAATTTTATCTGCAATTACTAAAACTGAAGTAAATATAATTAAGTTTTTAGCCGTCTTTTTTTTTTTTTTTTGTTTCAATTTCTAGCATACAAGGCCAGATCTACCTGGCATTTGAGAACTTTGTCTTTCCCTATCACAAGCTTTACTTTCCAAATTAGCCCCAGATTCTTCCCTCAGAAGTGGTTTATCACCATGGATTTAATAGAAAATTCCTCTGAATGGGAAGTGCGAAGGAATTGCGTTGATTCTCCTTTCTCTGAACTACTGCTACCTGTATAAGGCAAACAAAAACAAAATGTCTTTTGCCATTAGAACGCTACTATATAGGCATATGCTAGTCCAAAGCAATAGTTGCTGTGTGTTTTTCATGTAGAAATTTATTTTAAATCAAAACTTGCCCAGCTCCAGATTGACTCAAACTTCAAAGATTCAACACGACTCCAGAAGGATGAGAGCATTTTAAAATAAAAATTTGAAGAGAAATTATCCACTCCAAAGAAAACAGAACCCACATATGTTTAATAAACTCTTCACCTTCGCTATACTGACAATCTGTGTAGCATTTTATTGATTTATCTTAGAAAACAGATGAGTGGAGATAACACACATTTGACATTCAGAATGCAAAGTCACCGTGTCTTTTAAATTCCATTAACTAATTTTAAAGTAGAAGTGATTAATTTGCCCATGAGTGCCACAGCTACAACAGATGCAGCTAAATTGACTGTGTTACTTCGTAACTGCTGTCTCCACATGGGTATAAGCATCATTCTCAACCAGGAGTTATGGGCTTTGTGTAAAAATTGCTGGGTGAACTGGACTGTGTTACTCAGGAGCAAAATATGAAAAGATTTCTTTCTGGCTTAAAAACGTGCAGATGAACTCATAACAAAAAGCTGAAGATAGAAAGCCTAAGCCAAAAGACCATTATTTGTGCATTTATATTGTATGTGTGAAGAAAGAGAGTCTTTAAGTCAATTTTTCTCCTGCTGAAAATTAACCAGCTTACACGTAAGAATAAAATCACCGTGACTGATTACCAACAGCGCATACAAAGCCATTCTGGACAGATGTTTCTTTAACTGTGCTTGCAATTTCCACTACCATCCTGGAGCTCTGACACCTGAGGATAATTAGACTCCAAAGCAGCCTACCTTCCGGAGGGGCTTGAGCTTGGTCTCCATGATGAAGTCGTACTTGCAGAGCTCGCAGCAGCGCGTGTCCGAGCTCTTGATCCACTGGTGCAGGCAGGCCTGGTGGACAAAGCGCAGCGTCCCCGTGCAGCGACACGGCGTGATGAGGGGGCTTTCATCATCTCCCTCACAGTGACAGATCCTGACAGGAAGGACAGCAAGAGCGAGTGAGCCAACCCGCCAACCAGCAGTGCAAAGGCACTGGCTTATTTACACTGCTTTCCCATCTTCACGCTTGACATTCAAAAGATGCCAGGTATATGACCTTTCAGATGGAGGCCCAGGAACCTTCTCCTTGCTCCTTTCTGCCATTTAGCAGCTTCTCCTCACTTAGTTATAATGTCTCTTTGAATTTGCTACGTGGTCTGAAGGTGAATCAAGAGAAATAACAGCGTTTCCCTTTTATGCATGGCAAAGCCTTTAAGATAAATACCAAAAGAGAATAGTGCTTGGTCTGTAAGCAATGCCAATAAAACCCTCAAAGGGAGAGAATTCTAACCCAAGCTGAAAATATCCAGCATGTGAAGCACAAAAAGTTCCTAGGATATTTCTTTGGAGTTACTCAGCTAAAGAATCAGAGAATAGTTTTGAGTACTCTGGAGCCATGCATACGACATGGTACATACACACACGCACACTTTTTAGGAGGCAGGTATTGGAAAGTCATGGTAATTTCTTAAATTCTTCACTGTCCCTTTAGGCAGACAGCAGCATTATCTGGGAAAACGAAAAGTATTCTGTAAGCAGACCCTAAGATAGAGATTGGACTCAGAACTGCTTTACCTTATGATGGGATACAGAGCTTTTCATGTTGTGGTTTTGCATAAAGTGATCAGTAGTCTAACATCATCATCTAAAGGGCTTCTTCCGTGACACATGGCCAAGTGTCCTGCTGATTTTCCCCTCTTCCAGTCTCCTGATTACATCAGGAAAACATTCACCCATCAAAAACAATGTCATATTTATTGGCAAGCATCTTTTTAAAGGCAGAGAAAGCTTTACAGAGAGCAGAAGGTTTAACCAAACACCTGAAGTTAAGGAGGTTCACCTCAATGAAGAGTAATTCCCTCCCATCCCCAACCTAGAAAAACACTACAAAGCACTACTGTGTGTCTGAGGTGTCAAGGTGGCACACAAGTGAAAAAGAAAAAAAAAAAAAAAAAAGAAAAAAGGCAAAAATAAAATTCTAAAGCCTGAGAAATTCTATTTCAAAATAAAGAAGTAGCAGTAACAGCACAGATTCTGTTGTCACACAAGTAAAATTTAGTACTTAGTACATGGCACCCTCAGACAGTGCAGAGGCAGAAGTGTCTGAACACATCTAAGGAATAACTTGCCCTTCTACAGAGAAAACTGTGACTGCAGCACCTCTGGGGTAGGAGAGCTTCAGGATAAGATTGTGTTCCTACTGGGAAGATGGGTGACATTTCCAGAGCAGGAGCCCCTGATGTATGTCAGGAGGCAACTTGAGAAAGCCATCCCAGGAAAGACTGGCTACTGCACAGCTCTGAGGCTGCCAAGCCTATAAGCACGGGAGGAGGATATTCCAATGTCTCTACATGAAAGATCTACAGATCAAAACTGGCTGCCCCACTATTCTTTCACAGTGTAGCCCTGAGCCATGAGAAAATCTATCTATGATAATGGGAAATCAGAACAAAGCTGCTTTGCTGGACATACAGAAATAAAGAGACCAAAAAATTCCAACAGATAAATGAAGCTCTGAATACCTGGCCCACAAAAGCCAGGTTTCAATTTCTGCAGTGGTGCTCATACAGGATTTCATGCCCTACAGCAGTGAAGAGGAGAACAAACTACTCACAACTTCCTTCTTGCACATTTTGAGACACATTTTACAGGAACTCAATTTACAGTCTTGTCTTTACTAATCCAGCTGAGTTAGGTGCATCAGTAGCTTAGTTCTTAGATGGGAATTACCTATATGTTGATTTCTTTCTGAGCCTCTAGCTCAAACAGAACTGTATTTTCAAAACACTGAATAGTTATTTTTCTAGCACGCATTCCCAACTGAGAGTTACATAAAAACATAATTTTCTTTTTAAATTAAAGCTATTCCCCAAAGGAAGACCAGCATTCTTTGTTCATTTAAATTCAAGCCATACATAATTTATTTTACAGCCTTAGCATTTAAACTATTTACAAATTAGACAACTAAGCTATGGATCCAACAGCTTTCTTTTCTAATACTGCCAAGATTGTTTAAAATTATTTTCAGAGCTAAAATACAAGCCTAAATTTCCACTGGGATCTTCAAATAAAGTGACACTGCAAATTTGAAATGAATAGAAATAATCCTTAGTAGAAATACTTCTACAAAAAAACTCTACATGCATTATACATTCTATTTGGGCTTTCCTTGTACATAAGTCACAAACCAATTGCATAAACAACAGGGTGACACTAAGAACTTACAGTACGAATAAGCTCAAACTAAATATTTTAATGGCCTCTTCTAGCTTTATAACCATGAAATATGTAATGAGAATTAAAACAATCTTTGGTAGGAATTTAAGTCTAGAGAAAATGACCAAAGGCATGGCTTTCATTAGCTTGAATGCTCTTTGGTCTCTTGGGTGCAATTTAACTCTTTGTTATTTGTTTAACCAGAAGAAATGAGCTTAAAAGATGATTGTGTACCTGGACTCATAGTGACAGTCTAAATATTTTTGGTGCCCAGCACCTGTGGTAACAGACTGTGGGCTAAATGCTTAAACATCTTTTAAAGACTTCGAGCAGGTAACTTGCTCTGTCTTCCTCAGCCATTAGAACTGATCCACAATTTTGTGTGTTCATCTGTAATGCGCATCATCATTATCACAAATCAGAGAAAGTAAATTGTTAATGATGGTTTTGAGAAGTTTGTTGTGCAAACAGAACAGAGGTAGGGATACAAAGCACAGACATACCTGAACTATGTCTGAACCAAGCTGGAGGTGGAGAACTTTCATTCTAGTTTCCTGTTGCCAATGATCACAACTGTTTGAAATTTTCCTGCATCAAATTGATTATTTAGCTGGCTGAACTTGTCCTGAGAGTAAAATTTGTTTGCATACTTTAGAAATTAACTGAATCGAAAAAAACCCAAAACACTCTCTATGATAAAGAAAAAATACATAATTTGCTAAATCTATACATATTTATTTACAAGTTGTAGTACAGCACCGATCACTGTTAATAGCTACAGTTTTAGCTGCGCAGACACACCTACAGAATTTACATACTCAACTTTTTAGTCCTTTAGTAGATAAATGGCCTTTATTATAGAGAAATACCTTTGACTTTTTTTTTTTTTTTTTTTCTGACAGCTTAGTGCTTTAAGGATTCCTGCCTATGAACAGGACCTTTCTTTTCCAGGGGAAAAGATGAGCACAAGAGTCCAACGTAGCTTTTGCTCTATGAATCATGTGTACACGAGACAACACAGGATATATAAGCCATTAGATGATCTTCTGATTGAGATATACAAAATTTGTGTGTATTTGTATACACCTACAAACATATCCCTACACACTGAGATCACAGAACATCTATATTTCTTTCAATAAAACTCACTGTGAATCCTTATGAAATAATACTCTGACAGTGCTATCTTATACTTAAATTTTTCGTTTATGTCATTATTTTAATTACCCAGCACATATTTTTCTAGCACAAAATTGTTTCTACAACCTTCAGCAAACAAATGCACCAAACACATTTGTCATCAAATTAAAACTTTTTGTCTTCCATACAGACAAACATTTCCATTTTCCCTACTGACAAACATAATCTCAGTTTAAAAGGTCTAAAATCAGTATGGAACAAGGAAATCACTTGGAAAGCTTTTAGGTTTTCCCAACAGTTATTTATTCTGGTAAAATCATGGCAATTGAAACTGCCATCTAGATGGTTAGCATCAAAGCTGCTTATTGCAGGAGATACAGGCAGATTCCAACAGATTTGTAGCTTTTTCTTCACATGCAGTTAACAGTTTTATTAAAGAGAATAGCTGCTAATCTCCACCCTCACTGGCAACCCAGCAGTTTCCCTAACCTGTCATCCACTAATCCACATGACTCTGGAAACTAAGAAAACAGGCTGATCCCTGTGCCTCTGTAGTAAAGTGGAAAACACACTTATTCTGCAGGAGTCCTATGGGATTTAGTGCTCCACTCCTACCCTGCCAGTGCGCTCCTCTGGGACAGCATCTACCCAGCTGATTCCCATGGATGACTACCGCCAAAAGAAAGTGATAAAGAGTAAAAATCGTTCAGCATGTCCCTGCTTCTGCTGCAAGGCACATTAAGAGCCTTGTCATCAGGAGCAGTGCTGGAGGGGAAGTGTTTGCAGTAATTCTGCATCACCAGAACTCTCTGCGGATCCCATATTTGCAATCGCCGCCTCTATCTCAGTACCTGGTAAAACTGTTAAGGTTTTTTGGCCACTACACATAGACCAAGGGTTTAGCTACAGAAGCTTTTATAGACTTCCTTGAAAATACACCAGGTCAAATTTTACCCACATTAACAAATGTAAAATGTAGGGGAAGGCCTCTGAGGCTTTAAAAACCAGAAATGTATATGGGGGCATGGGAACACTGATAATGATGTGCAATAATGTTTAAGGGCTATAAATTATGTAAAACCTGTATTGTTACTTAATTTTCTGGGTGCTGTACAGCTATGTCCATGCTAACAAGCATTACAGTGAAATTGTAACAAATCTCTTGGAAAAAAAACCAGCTAGTGCTAAAACCTGGGGTATCGACACCAGACCCACCCTGGTGGGTGTTTCTTTGATTTCAAAGTGATTTTAGACTGGACCAGGAATACACTCTGAGACAAATTCTCAGTGTGGTCTATACCATGGCAAAAGTAAGGTTGATCACATGTGCTTCAAAAGCAGGATCTTTATCTGAACTAAAGAAGGCCCCTTCACTCATCAAATTAGGAGGAGCTACAGCCTTGTGGCTGTGGCACGTTTACACCAACTGTGATGCAATTTACAGGCAAAATGAACTGAATTTACACAGATGCCTAATAACCACATTGTCATTTTCCTGAAGATGGAAGAACATCAGTACAAGAGAAATACTTTGGAACTTTTAACGTATTTCCTTAATAAAAGAGGGAAATATTTTCT